TCCTGCACCATCTTGGAACATGATTGGCCGACCGCAGGCTTGCTGAAGGATGGGGGCGTATGCCTGGTGGCAACAATGGAAACTGATCCATGGCGTGATGCAGACAAGGTGTCCCATGGAGACCCTGCGTGGTCATTTCGAGCAGTGGAGTATTGGTTTAAACAAAATCTCAATTTTTTTGAACCACTGTTTTGGGGTAGTTTGTTACGGATTTGCTTGCGAGGATTTCCAGGGTGCGTCATGAGGTTGGCTGTTGGTCATGGGTCATTGCTTTCACCATTTCAGGTCAGAGGATTTTTTTGGGTTATGAAACTTGGGTTTCGTAAGTTTCGCAAGTCAACATCAAAGGCAGGCTTCGTCCAACTGGCAAATTATGAAGAGCTTATGGGGTCACTTGGGGGCAAAACAAGCTCCAGAATGAAGGCCGCATGGCGGAACGTGACGGCAACTGAATTTTCGTTCGTGATCATTGGGAACCAACGGTCCTGGAATGAGATGGTAGTGTCCCGCGATTATGAACTACACGGGTAGTTGAGAAAACATGGCAGTGTTTGTGGTGGTACCCTTGTTGGGGGGCTGCCGAAATTGGGAACCGAAAGAAAAACATGCTGGAGGTTTCTCATCTGGAGACAAGCCTTCAGTGAAGTTGGGCCAACAGCTGTACACATTTCATTTCATATCATCTAGGATTCATTTTTGTGTTGGTTGGGGGCATTGCTGCTGTCTCATGGCGGCGGGGAAGCATCGGAACTCAACTTGTTCAAAAATCGCAGTGTGGTCCGTTTCCAGGAGAATCTGCAGGACTTGTTGTCTTTGGACGGAACCCTAAGGATGATTGTCCTCTGGGTTTCCGTTTAAAATAAGGAAAAGGTACCTCAAGAACATGGGGTACCATTCATGGGGATGGTTTTCCTTTTGGTTCCCTTTAGAACAACCACCACACAGGCATCCAAACAAGTACACGTATGGGGTACCACTCGCGATTTGCTTGAAAATTAAAATGTCCACAAAACAGGTACCCAGAAGCAAGTGACAAACCATGTGCCCCAAGCCATGCCTGGTCCTAGGGCTGCGAAGCCGAGGATGCCGTCCAGGCGGGACAAAATGTCGAGCAATGTAGCCCCTCCTCTACTGATGCGTGCGATTCCTCAGCTGTTTAGCTTTTTGGTTGGCTTAGTGGCTTCCATTTCACTAAAAATTAAACTTTTAGTAGGGGATCTGAGGAAGTTTCTTTCATTGGCTGAAATGAATATGTTTTATTTTCGGCTGGTTGGTTTCAAAGGGCATCTATCACTCGTGGGAATACATTGTTAATTTCTTCCAGGGGACTTAAGCAAACGGAGGAATTGGTGTTTCAGCAGGGAACTCCTAAGAATGCTAGGTTTCCGTTAGCTTTCCTTTGAGGGCCCTCCAAAAAGGCCGTGGCCATGAATTTTCATGGTTGGAACCGCCCAAACCACTACGTCCAAGGAAGAACAGGATACAACCGAAGAGACGGCCCGCAGTTTTCTAGGCAATGTCGTCGCAATGGATTTTCAGCCATGATGTTCTGTTCTTGGGATATCCATTCAGGGTTCAGCACGGAGGGGCGAAGAGTTTAGGGTTTGGGTTCGATGCTACAGGATTAGGCAGATGAAACGGTGGCTGCGCATCAGTTCAGCGAGCCTTTCCTGGTCCTGGAAAATCGGTATTTTAGGGGGCAATTCGTAGGCTCCAGGGTGGCTTGTGTCTTTTCTTCTTCAGTGGTTTAAACATGTTGTTTGGTCCTTGTATTTTTGGGGTGGAGTTTTTTAGCTGACAGCGCAAGCCCTGCATGCGTTGCCTTTGCGCTAGGAGGTCCCGGCTGAGCTCCCGCGCAAAGGCCGACTCCTGCAAGGAGGTGTTTTTTGGCTGCTTGGGGGATTGCTATCCTCGTGGGACGTGTTTGTTCTGATGTACCCCTGTCTAAAGTGCGGTGCCACCATGTTCAAGGTGGTTCGAGGCTTCAAGATGACAACCGCTCGAAAATTGGCTTCCTTTTGCTTTGGTGCATTTTGCTTGGATGTGAGGACTTTAACTTTGCCAACTACCGGGTTTTCCATTAAACCACTAGAAGTTAAACTTGTAGGGGAGAAGAAAGCAACCGAGTTTGGTTTCCTGTGGTTCCCTTTACCACGGACTACATGTCCCTCGCCGATCGAGTCTTAGCAACTAGCAACCTCGCGTTGTCCGTTTCAAGGGATGGAGCACTGACCCCAAAAACCAGAAGGACTGCCCAATTTGTGTCCTCTTCGGGAACACTGGGCCCCTGGGTCACGTGCTGTTGGCGACTCTGAACTGAAAAGCCCGGACTTCCTCAGAGGTCTTTGTGCAGGTAAGTTTCTGCAACTGGCGTGAGGGCGCAGTTCGAATGTTCTGCAAACGCGTGTTCTTTCGGATCTGAAAGCTCCAAACACGATCGAATACACCTTCCGGAAGTCTTGCAAGCTATTGGCGCAGATAGGGTTGCTATGGTTGAGCCAGGTCTGATTTCAGACAGCAATGTAGTCTGCAACACGAACACGTGACAAGCAATTGGTCTGGGTTGCATGTGAGTGTGTGTGTGTGTGTGCGAGTTGACCGTTCACAGGAAAGGTTGGGGCTGCAACTGCCGCTGTCGTTTCACTGGGCACTGTTTAGCATTGAACGAAAGTATGGGAATGGATTGGTTTATACACTGGCACCTTGGGTCCCCTTTGAACGACGAGTTGGTCGTTGGGAAGGCGGGTCGTTTCCCAATGTGAAGGACAGCATGCGGATTATGACTTGGGAATATTGTTGCAACCTAGACAGGGGACCACCAAAAAATGATGGTTTCCTTCTAGGTCTCGATTGAAACAATGCTTTGGTTTCATGATGCGACACACAGCAGTATGCGCTGTCTTAACAAGGGAAGCAGTATTAAAGGGTACCAACTCTATAGACGCCAGCATCGCCGAAGTTTGTCCATTTTCCATGGCTATGGGCTCTATATATGATTGATCGCCTCACTTGGGAAAGAACCCAGGAGCAAACCTGCGAAAGAGACGAGACCTTTGCCGAAATTTTGACCAACCATTTGCCAGCGATTCACCAACCAACCAACAATTTGCCAACCCGCCATTGACCAACATGATCAGCCATTGACCATTCGCCAACCTTTCACCTTCTTGGGTCAACATCTGGTGACATCTGAAATCTTATGTTAAACAGCCACCGGACTTTTGCGCGACTCGCGACCCTGTTGCCCCATTGCATAGTGTGCATTGCACCATTGCTTTCTCGTTGACCCGCAACCAGTGTTCAATTTTCTGAGCTGGTTTTCTGACACTCAAATCTGATTCTCACTTGTACGGTGGACACCGACAGACCGCTAAGCCATGCTGTTCACTAGACCGTTGCAACGTTTTTGTCTCGTATGGCCGTGTGTCCAAAGGACCTGGCTTCCTCATGGACTATCCATGCCGTGCCGCTGAAAAGGCACGGCATGGATAGTCCAAAGACTCTGAAACAAAGTGTTTCGACATGTACACACACAAGCAATGGACCATGCATAGACCACCTCTCAACATTGATCCACTTTGGACCATTGCCGGGTCAACGTTTCGCGACAACCCGTATTTTTTGTCCTTGTCAAAGACGATGGTAGGAAAGATGACAAAGCTAGCTTTGGGGGTTGAACGTTGACCAAGGGTGAGCAACCATTAGATTTCAGCCCATTTCGTAGGTCGGCAGGATGGTTAGGGATCTAACCCCGGTTACAACCACGGGCATTTGATAATACTTGGTTCCTGGGTGGGTTGAGGCTCCAAATGGCCAACTCTTTACATTTGACCTAAAAAGTGTTAGTTTTTATTAAACTCTAGTAAAGAACGTCAACTTCCAGGACCGGCAGGAGAAGACCAGTTGTTGTCCAGCCCAATGGCATTTCGCTTGCAGTCCCTTCCCTTCCACTCAATGCGCAGGTGAGCGGAAGCCAATCAAGCTGCTGCTGCACTGGGCCCCAGTTTGCCGCCAGGCCAACGGCAGTACTCTGTTTGGGTGTGCGCTTCTTCTTTTTTTTGGAGGGAACCCATGGCACCCATCCAAGGGTTGGTCTAAATTGAAATCAACAATTTTCTACTGGTTGATTCCCCAGTATTTTCAACCATCGTTATTTTCAAAAACCAGCTATTTTCCCTGGGTTTTTGGTGGTTTTCTAGAAAGAATGATCCCTGGAAAGAATGGGGAAACTACCCTTAGAAGTTTGACACTTTGACCCATGTGCATGGTGTAATACATTTTGCACCTGTGTTTGTGTATTCATCCTCAAGGGACAGAGTTGCAAGCACGCCTATCTGCACACGTGCCCGTTGAATCAAATTTGGGCCAGGACTATCTGGACCCGGGTAAGAGTAAGGCAGCAGACTGGTGGCGGAACCGGTGGATCAAGAACCAACAGCAGCAAATGGTCGCAAGGCTTTCTCTTGCCTCTAGCTACCTGGATCTACCCCCCCCCCCCTCCCCCGCGAGTCCTTACGGGAGGGTGCAACGGTGCTCTAAGATATTCTAAGATTTCGCTATCGTTTACAGACAAAGCAGGCCGAAGGGGCTCCTTACTACCAACCCACTAGACCAGAGTCGCTTGCGGATTCCCTGATGTGGAGGCCTAAAATGGTCGACTGCCTTTTGGATAGACTTGAAAGGAGCTCTAGCAGATCGCTTTGAAAAGCCGCCCCCGAACAAATACCATAAATACCCCTTCATGGGGGTTCCAGCCCATAGTGGGGGAGAAGCGAGTAAACACGTTTATGGGGCATGCCGTCCAGGCCAAGGGGCGGCATTCTTGTAGGGCTTGCCTTAAAGGACTCGCTTGGTCACCTCCAAGGTGCCCTTCACCCTTCAACCACTCTTTGCGACTTGCTACCTTTGGAACCACAGTCTGTTTGTGAATGCCACATCGGGAGCCCTTGCCCCCGTGCGGACATCCTTGTCACTCGCCAGCCAGAAGTCAGCTCAGCGGCATGTTGAGGTCGGCCTTTGAGGGCCGTGCGCCGGTTCTGCTCTTCGACTACCATCCGGCCGTAGGGAAGGCCAGACTTGCGATGAGATTAGATTTGACAGATTGGGAGATAGGTAGGCAGGCAGGTAGTTGGGTAGGTACTTGGGTAGGTAGATAGGCAGATGGGTGCAGAGGTAGATAGGTAGATAAATAGGTAGACACATAGGTAGATAGGTGGATAGGGCAGATAGATAGGGTACTATAGATAGACAGACAGACAGATAGACAGGGCAAACGGACGGACGGACAGACGGATGGACGGACAGAGGGACAGAGATATGCTATGCTCATGTGCACAGTGCACGAGATGGGTCAAATGTTCAACACTATCCTGAGGCAGAAGTTTCGATTTTAGAGAAGTCTGCTTAGCCCATACTAGTGGATGGTCAGAGCAAGTCTTCCAAGGTAATCCACCGGATTTCGCCTTTTGGGGTTCCAGTTTAGGGCATTTGCTTCTCTTTTTTTTTACGACACCCCAGAGGCTTCACCGTTGGTCTTTCGGACAGATTTCGAGAAGGCAGCCCTTTGCGGCTTCCCTTTTTAAAGTCTAATCAACCGCTGACGGGGCTGCTGGGCTCCCATCCAATTCGTTGGGTCCCATCGCCTTGCAAGAACCGCCTCAGGAGCGTGAGATGGATCCGGATCGAGTGGTGGCCACCTATGAGCCGGCGCCTCAGCCACCAACCGAGCTGGAAAGTGCAGGACTTCCTGAAGACTACCCTCCCTCCAACTAACATGGAAGTGCAAAAAGGCCCTGGTTTAACTGGTGGTTTAACCATCTACCAGGGCCACCTATTTCCCCTAAAAGGACACCTATGGCAAAAAGGCCAACTCACCAAGAGGACAGTCGTCTTTCTACAGGGGTCCGAAGGCATGGACCCACGGAATCGCTGGGAGGGGAAGCCCCGGGTTCGAAGTCGTTACTTGCTGGTGGGTGAGTCTTGTTGGCTTGAACCCCTGAAATCCCAGTGCTTGGTGAAGCCCCGGTTGACTGCTGCTCATTTTTGTTTGTGGGGAACTCCCTCACACCTCCCCCCTGCTTATCTGAAAGGTGTATTATCCGATAAAGAGTAATCAGTGGGTTAATTCCGTTTTCGGTGCACTGCTGGTTAACTGCTGGTTGGTGTTTGGCCATGTTGTTCCATGTCCATCACTCTCGGTTGATGCGTTCATCTTGGTCAGTATATGAGCGACTGCCTTCTGTTTGCCGGAGGCCATATATTTATGATCACAAACACATGCGGCTTGGAAAACGAGGTTACTGGTTTGGACTCCGTGCAGGGTTTGAGAATGTGGCAAATAGCAGCTGTAGCTGATATGCATGTTTCTTTGAATTGGGTGCCTTCCCTTTGAAACCACCCCTGGCAGGGTACCCTTAGAAGAAGGCATGCCCAATGAAGACTCCTTACATTTTCCTTGGGCCCTGTCCATTTCTGGGACAATGAAGCCGAATATGGCATGGCTGATCTCTGGCGGGGTCCGATTTCCTTTCGTCTTTCGGGAACCATTGGATTGTTCATTGAACCTTTCGGTTAATTTGTTTCTGAGTACATTACCAAATTACATTCCATACCCTTCCATGTATACATGTATACACCATGAGTAATCACACACTGGTTATAGTACGTGTTCGATCATCCCGGGCAAAGTTCCTTGAGTTGTCCCAGGGCCCGCAGCCGCACACCTGCCTTCTGCCTGGAGCTCAGATCGAAAGGGCCCACTCGGCTTTCAAAGAATTTGGGTTGAGCTTTGGTGACATCTCATTTATTTGCCCTTGACCAAGCCCAGGCAGACGAGGTTTGCATCCTGTGTTTCACCTTGAGTGATCAAGTTGGGTTCTCTATATTGAGCTGTGTGGCGAAAAGGGCATTCTTTGTTGGCGTGGTTGAAAACCAGGCAACTATTTGGGGAGTTGCCCCCTGGTCCTGGCTTTGAATTAATTCCCACTTGCATGTTCAGCCCTCTACATAAATGACCGAGGCAAGTGCCTACTTGCAACGGTTGAACATGCAATGTAGCTGCCAGTGGGCCATATTTCGCCAGGTCACGCAACCTGCGTGCACCGCTACAACGCAGTGCTCAACAGCTTCCGCCAAGCAGGCGTGCTCTGAACTGAGAACAGTCAGGGACGGGTGGGCCCTTGTTTCTTGGGCAAATCTGATTTGATTGGTGCGGGCGGGGGGGGGGAATCCCCCTTGGACATACGTCCTACAGATCCATTTGTTCGCTATGCCACATTGCAATAATGCGTAGAGGCCACATCTCAAAGACCCTGTGGCCGGGTATTGATTTATTGTGGGGGGTCTCGTGAAAGCAACGCATGCAATGGGAGCTAGAGCAATTGGATGCCAAGACCAATGGAAACAGGCCACATTCTGCCACACAGTTTATACAGATCAAATGCATCGGTAAGTCCTTGTAGTATTTATTGGGTGATTTAAAGGTGTCTCAAAATAGTGAACACGCCCAACATGGCCTTTTGGAAAAAGCATCCAGAAAGAGGGTTCCCTATGCATGTGGAGACAGACACATTTGGAATGTTGCTTGCGCATTTGCGAGGACTTCCGGAGGTTTCTGCCGAGGTCCGACACTCGGGATCGCACCTCTGGGAAGAGGGGAGTGACCGGAGTATCGGAGTATCTCTGTCCAGAAGGATTTTAAACAAGGAGCGAGTACCACTTTCTTGTGGTTTTAAAGGGATGCAAAAGGAGAATCACAATTTTGAAAGTTTCGCTACTTTGAGACACACCCAAGTAATCGCACACGTTGTTGTCAGATGAGCACATGATGGTCTAGTATCACCCCACCACATTCAAGTTGGATAAGAGCGTGTAGGCTGCTTCCTTGGGGAACATTGTAACATGTTGCGACCTCATCCTTGCCACCGAACACATGTTTTTTTTTGGTTTTTCAGCCCTCAATTCCAGATTGGTGGATTCATATATGAACTGCTGCACCGGGTTCTATATCCACTTTACAGCAACCCCAGCTGAGGACAAGTGGACTCTGCTGTGGGGCGGAACACCCAGGCGGCATCCCCTGCGGGGGAGGGGGGAGGGGGGAGGGGGGTAGCTCTGGGAAAGAGACAAGCTCAAACATGTGTGAAGGTGTTTGAAGGGAGGATCCCTGATTCGTTTGTGAAACTAGGAGACCCTGAAGTGGTCTTGTTTTGGTTGCCTTTGGAAATAGCTCTAACAAAGACAACAACACACACACAGGGTGATTCTTACCAAGTCAAAGCACCCCTTCTCGCAAGCTGCTTTTATTGGCGCACTCATCGTCGTGCTTGTTGCCGGCAGCTCCAACCTCTTCGAAAGTGGGACCCCTTTGGAGAGTGCTTTTGGAGAGTTGAGGAAAACAATTGCGACACGTTGGGCCCCTTAAAATGAACATTTTTCAGGAGTGCTGACAATTACTCTTGGGTGGTAAAGGAAGTGCGCCTTGTTTCCCGCTGGAGGTTTCACCCAACATATCCCTTCCTGGAAGGAGGTACCCCCTATTTTCAGTTGGCAGCTCCTTTTCGATCAACCAAGAAGGGTGTTGTTTCACTTGCTGGTGCTCAGAGAATGAATTCGGGGTTTGGGGAATGAACCGTACGGGGATTCTCTTACAGGAATCCAAATGGATGGTTTATATGGGTCATTCCCTCATTTGCTGAACAGAAAGTGAACCACCGGAACCCAGAAAGTGGGCCAAGGAAAGTGAACCCCGAAATTGTTCACCGGGTGAGAACTGGCCTTCTGGCGATGAGGGGAATGAACACGGGGATTCTCTAGGAAACCAAATGGATGGTTTGTATGGGTCATTCCCTCTGAGAACTGGCAAGAAGGTGTTTAAGACGCCGGCCAAAAAGGGGAAGCTGCGACTCGCCGAGCTCGTGGAGGCCGGAGAGCCTCCGTGAGTTCCTGCCCTTCCAGAAGACGTCTGCCGCCCAGTGAAGTCAAGCCACAGCACCGACCTGGGACGTGACCATGGGGGGAGGGAGGGGGGGGAGGGAAGTGGAGAGTGGAACGTGGTTGGACCTTTTGCCCTTGGGAATGAAAAGGGGATGGAGACTTGTACAGAAGATTCCTTTCCCCTTTTGGCCTGCCAAACAAAGTGTGTCACACGACTGATGTCTTTTCTTTGGTAGACGGAGGGAACCTCAACTATGGCCCATAGGTTTGACCGCGGCTCCGGGTTGTGGCACGTGTCTTAGCCGCTTTTTGTGAAACGGAGTGCGCCATTTACGGCGAAGCAGTCATGGAAAATCAACCACTTTGGTCGACCGTCTTCAGCCACGGGATGATGTTTTGACGGAATTCTGCATTTGCCACTAGCCTTGACGTAAAGGACAAGTCGTGGAATTGACGCTTTCTCTTGAAGCAACGACCAAAGCGGGTTCTCCTTTTACCTAGACGCCCCCTATGTGTCGATCGGCCACCGCTTCCAGCCATTTGGGACCAAACTTTCCTGAAGGGATGTTGGAGGTAGCAACCTCAGGTCGCCTTAGCTGCATCTAAAGTCCCCGAGCGAGCCTCGTGGAGCCCCTGGCAAATGTCGTCCTGGACAGATCAACCTGGGGTGGTTTCCCCCAAATGAGGGACACTCCCGTGCGGATCATCCAGAGCTTATTTCCATTCAATGCAGCTTCGACGCGTCTAAGGAACCACTTCCCGGCCTCCTGGCATTTGGGACGCAAGGATTTGCCGGAGCCCAAGTACCTTGGCGTTTCTTTTGTCAGCTGCTTAAAAGTGATATCCCACTCCGTGAAAATATAGCGAGGGGCTGAACTGTCGAGCTAACGATCCCAAATATATCATCCACATGCGACCGAATTGTTTGTTCTGATCTTAGACCTTTTGCCCTTCAATGACTTTGAGAGTGTGTTCCTCCAAAATTGGCCATTACTGCTCAGCCATGAGCACCGTGACCCACTTGCAATGAGCGAAAAAGCGGCGCGGCCCAGGCTATGGCGGAACATCCGGGGGATGCAGCAGCGCTGCTTTGCGCGGTCGGGACACCCGAGCCCACGGAGATTGTCCGAGCTTCAGGAATATCAACTTGATGCGACTGGGTGTCTCTGGCCAGTTGCCTGTAGTTCCTGTAATCATTTGGTTAGAGGACCCATTCCATGGGCGGTTCCTCGTTTCAGATCTTGAACTTATCTTGAAGGCTGGTTGTAGATGACCAGACTTCGGCCATGCAAATCTGGGGGGAAACCTGAGTGCTTATAGACTTTGTGGCATCGGACACAGGTTCGCCTCGCCTGCCTGGGGTTGGCAAAGGCTTTGACTAGGCCACGAGCCCTGCCCTCTTTAGCGAGTGACATGCCTTGGCAAAGATACGAAAGTATTGGATTGGCGTGGGTTGAGTGTCACGCTGGCAAAGGCTTTTGGGTTCACCTTGGCGAACAAGAAACCGTGCCCGTGCTGGAATCCCAGAGCCTCGGGCCGTTTGGGGCAGAGAGGCTGCATGTTTGCCCAGTGTGCAGCCTGTTGTAGCTGGTAGGACCCGTGCCTAGACCATAGAACAACAATGTACCATGATTTGGTACATGGTTGCTGGCAATGTGGTGCTTGGTTGAAAGAAAATCTGGTGCCCGGGAAGACCCCCTCGTCACGAAGCATGTCCACAGCTCAGAGCTGCTGTGATGCTTTTGGCATCAGCAGCTAGTCCACTCCGAGGTTTGACATCATGCCGCAGACCTTCCTGATCCCCAGCCAGTTCAAGTTATGGTCTGCGCGGCTCTCACTTCCGATTGTGACTTGATCTCGCTCGACAAGTATGGCTCTCACCAAGCTTATTTCACAGGAGCGTGGAAGAGACGCTTCCTCTCAAGATACCACGCAGCCTCGTGCAAAAGAGCGCGATGCTTGATGCACAATATGAGTGGCGACAAAACGACTCAGGCTGCCAGAGAGATGGATCATAAGGCAATCTGGTCTGGAGCTGAGAGGGAGGGATGCAGGGAGGGAGGGAGGGAGGGAGGGAGGGAGGGAGGGAGGGAGAGAGAGAGCCTTGCACGTGTTCGTTTCGTACCTTGGTCTGTCCCTGGTGTTCTTTGCTTTCCGCTGCCGCAGTCAAAACTATTCATAGCTCGTTGGGCTGTTTCAAGCGTGCATTCCTTCAGCCGCCAATAGTCCAGCGTGCTGTTTGTTTCACAGCCCCGTGCCAATGATGTAGGCGATAAGCCGACGCCAAGGTCTTTTCAAAAGCCAGCTGCTGTAACCTGTGGATGCAGAGTGTTTGATCTGCCCTTCCTCCCGCCAAAACATATTTGTGGGAGGGTGGAAGATGAAGTTCCTCTAAAAGGGTCCTGTGCCATGTCATCACGGGGGGGGGGGCTGGGAGTTCTTCAAGTGGGAGCTGCTTGCTGGTCCACTCCCACCTGCGGTCTTGACTTCCACGACTTTTTCCAGCTCCTAATCCGCAGGTGGTTGAACCCCTCGAGTTTTGTCCAGTTTCAGCACACATCGCTGTGTCACGACTACCAACGATCGCTGATCGCTGGTTTGCATTGCTCCTGGTATCCTATCCATCTGCTGCTGGTCAACTTCTGAAGGACCGAATGAGGAGGCAATAAGCAGGGGAGAAGATGATTGGCGTGCCCCGGCAGATCAGCTTTGCATTGGCTTGGCAGCGGATTTACACAGATAGCAATAGCGACTGGAGGCTGCAAGAAGCCATTCGGCTCACTTCTTATCTAGACTTGGGTGTGGCTCCTTCAAGTGTGCTCGGGTGTCCACCGTGTCATTATTGACAGGGCAAGAACTTGTGAAAAACATGATTTGCATGGATCTCCAGTCAAGACCACTGCACATTGTGTTGCACTTTCTGTGATACTCAGGGAACTCCCTCCAAAGTGACCCAAGCAGTCATAGGGAATCAACAACTTTGCTATCACAGAAAGAGGCTGTCTCCAACAACCTTGTTGCAATATGAAGTGTTCCCCTTTCCCCCGCAAAATGAGCCACCATCAACACCCGGGAAGGTGTGCAGCTGCCATTTTAAGTCTTTGCATGTTTCTGGGTAGACCACTTTATACCGGGTTTTGCTTGTGACTCAAAGGGTGATTCGCCTGTTGCACGTCAGCAATGGGATCCCTTCACAGGGGTTGAACCAAAGGGCACCACTTCGACTCGAATTCGAGGATTTGGAAGCCGATCAACTCCAGTTGCGGCCGGGTGCCCAGATGGACTGACCAAAAGGGGGGAGTGGTCAAAATGGGTAAATACTCCTTTAACAGGAGGCAAATGCCTAAACAGAAAACAAGAGAAAGGCAGAAGGTGGCACTAGGGTGTTTTAAAAGAGGGCCATCTTTTTGACAAAGTCATGAGAAGAGCCCACCTGTAGTTAGATGTGGGGTGAAGAAACTATCTTGTATGGCATCTTCTTGGCAGTTTTGGGGACGGCTTTTTGCTAACGGTGCAGGAGTGTGCAGGCGGAACACCTCTCCACAAAAATATGCCGTAGGGAAGAAGCGGGGACAAGAAGGTATCCCCAGGAAAGCATAATATGGGCCTAGAACAACCGCCCACAATATCTGTGCTTCTGCTGCATCCCTGCTGATTTCTTCTGCAGTTTGTCTGGTTTTGGTCGTCGCTTCATGTCGCTCCACTCAATCCCTGCGAGGCCAGCTGCGGCAGGACCAAACCAATGTGAGTTGGAATTGCGCCATCCACTTTCGCCTTCGAATAGGTTTTTAAGTTCCCCTTGTTTTAAAGGACATCACCTTCCATGCGAGTTGGTATTTTTCCCCTGGCTTTCAAGGGAATCGTCGCACTCACATTGCCGGCGGCTGGGCTGAGGCAAGCCCAGCAATCAGCAGTTCCCGCATGTTCCAACATCGGTGGATGCTGCCAAGTGTGTGCGCGTTTCGCTCACTTTGGGTCCAACATGCTAGTCTCAGAGGGCTTTTGGATCTGTCTGCTGTCCTTGCAGGCAGATCTCAATCTGTTGCATTGTTCAAGCTTTGAAGATAGAGAGTCTTGAACGTTGCGGGTTGCATGACGATGTTGATTCCCCTGAAGTCACCACCAAGGGATGCTTCGCACATTTTGTTTGACCCCTAGTTCAGGTACGCTTTTTGTTGAGGGCACTTTTGTTTTGGATGTTGTTTGGTGGCTCAAAAGTTAACAGGGGCGTGACTGGGAAGGAGCGCATTTTGGGTTCCCTCATCTAGAGGCAGGCCTATTTCCCTTCGGTGGGTGATGTTTTAAGTTGTGAAAACCGTGAGCAAAGGAGAATATATTGTTGAGTATCGGTCTTGGGGTGATCTATTTTGCAGATTAGTGGTTCTGAACAGTCCACTTCGAACCGGCTGGCGCCTTCTATATTTCCGGCTTCTCACATGGGTGTTTCTCAGAATTGGTTGGGCTGCAAAACCAGATCCTTTAGATGGGATGACCATCACTTTCTCCACTAAACGGGAAAAGTTGCCTAAGGTCATATCTGGGCCAGGGGTATTGATCAACCGCCATATAGAGCACCTTGGTCAAATTCCGGTTCAGGTCTTGAGTTCAAACTGCTTGAGCGGAGGTCGCGGCATCAAGCTCTTGCCCCCCAACCTATCCGCGAAGGTGCGGGGCCGGGCCATCGGCTGGCTGGGGCATCGTGGCTTTTGCCCAAACGGGCGAGTCTCCGAATCAGGGAACCTCCAAAATGGAAGGGATTCCCTCTCTCAACAAAATGACACCCAAAAGACAGGGAGCCAAGGAGTCACTTGGATGGTGTCCGGGTTTCAAGTCAGAGGTCCCGGACCTTGCGTGTCCCAGACCTTGCGGAACATGAGGCCTTCTCGATACTTTTCTCCCACCCGCATGCAGCGGGAGATCCTGGCGCACCCTTTTTCCTCTTCAAGACACCCTCTGGCGGGTTCAAAGTGGGAAGGAGATGGGTAATGTTGACCCCAGATTAATACACCCCTCTGTTTTTTTCTTT